TTTCTGCAAGAAATAAAGGGACTGTATATATGTGGTATAGATATAAATGCATCCATAGGCAAACAACAAAGGGAAATGGTGAAATTTGAATTGCACTTTGGACTAACAAACCCGCATAAACTAGTCATTCGTAGTATCGAAATGCGACCATGCACACTCGAATGGTTACGCAGAATTTTGCATCCCAAGGGTAAAGAGAAATAGAGATAGAGAGAGAGAGAGAGAATGTTTCGTAAATAAAAAAAAAGTGACGGAACGTGAATTGAGGAGAAACATGGAAAAAAAATTTATTTCAGTTACTACTCAGGCGCGTGTATTCAAGCGATATTTTCGGCTCTACAAAGCGTTAACGGTCGCGTCCAATAATTTCAACGTGCTTCGTTAATTCCGTAAAACGGAAAGCCTGACATGGCAGGAGATGTCGTTCCGGTTTCCGGAGCGATAGGTACCTGCCTGCTTCTGTCTCTCCTCCCGGGAATCAATGGTAATTGCCGACCTATCGTTCGTCCTGCCAATCTAACATTTGCTCTTCTCGGTGAACAAAAAAAAAAAAAAAAAACACAAGATTTATACGATTCCTAGCTCCGATTAACGACCTCGATTTTTGGTCTTGATTCAACACATTTTTCCAATTTAATCTGATTTTACAAAAGCGAAAAATGTCAGTGGAAATGTTTCAACAATTTTATCACACCGCGAGAGTCAATTTTTTTTCCTTTTTGTTTTCTATAGGATTTTTTTGATTATTTGTTTATTTTTTAGATAAAATATATTATATATTGTTATTGCTTCATTTCATGCACGCACTCAAAAAAAAAAAAAAATGCATGAAGGCGACAAAACTTTATCTTTGGACATTCTATTATTTTAAGCAATACGTGAATATATTGAATCCCTCACACACGTGCCATCTAAATCGACAGTTTACAATTTAACATGTCCGAAAGTGCTAGTGCTCCATTTAAATTTAAAAGCCATAAAATCGATTGTGCTCAATTGACGTGAATGATAGAAACGCGTCTGACTCGTTTTTTTTTTTTTTTTTTTTAAACAATTGCGAAGCAAAAAATTTCTCTCTAACAGTAATAAAATGAATTATATTTTAAAGTAATTCAAATAGATTTAATTTACTACAGTCGGAAATTGGAATTAACACAATAGAAATTAATCTCATTTTACAGACAGAGAGAAATATTTGTTTGAAACAATAAACAAAGAAATCGTTTTTTCTAAATCATTTTTTGAATTAAAGATAAAATTTGTTTGAATTAAAAAAATTTTTGTTTACTTCAACAAAAAAATAATTTTCATATGTTTTGAATTAAATAAATTTTTTCATTATGTGGCATCTTTAATCCAAAGAAAAATTTCTTTAAAACAAAGAAGAAGATGTTGAGAAAAGTTAAAGAAATTATTTGTTTCTGTGTAGAATTTTAATAAAAATAATAAGAATAATAATTAATTAAAAATAATTACAATGAAACGAGAGAAAAAAAAAGTATTTAAGCTGATAAAAATAAAAGTTTATTTCTTTTAGTGAACAAAAAAAAGTAATGAAATAATTTTTATAATTCAGAGAAATTTTTCTTTGGTCTAACAAAGCAACAATTTCTTTGAAACAATGAAACATTTTTCTGGCTGTATATTTAACATTGTGGTATTATAATTATAATTTATTATAATCCTCAAAGTCTGAAGCAATTTTTTTCACATTTTTCATCAAAAACACGATTATTTAAAAAAAAAATTGTAATAAAATTCTCCAAAATATTAAATTTATTTAAGTAAAATTGAACGAAATTTTAATTTTTTAACAATTTTTCTCATAATTACTTTAGGAAATTCAATCATCCTGAAAGAATTAAAATTCAAAAACCTAGTTTTTTCAGAAGTTTCGAATCCAATTATTTAAAAATTCCAAAATTTTATTAAGTGAATATTAAATAAATAAATATTTAAATATTTAAATAAATAAGTAACTAAATTCAAAAAGAAAATTTTAATTTTTCAAAGAAGTAATCACAGTAAAAAGAAAGTCTAATTTTAAACATCAAAAGGTTCATTGTTTAAAAATTTTTACTAAGTATAACTCTACTAAAATTTAATTATTTTTTAGTATTTTTGATTAAAATTTTCCTCTAAATCAATTATTTTAAATAATTTGCAGAAGATTCTTTCAGATTTTAATTACTTACTCTCCCAATTTGAATTAGAAAAAATGTTTACTAATTTAAATTATAGTGACTGACTTTTTGTTTTTGAATTAATAAATTTTACTAATAAATAGTAATTTGTACTAATTTATCAGTAAAATTTACTAATTCAAAAGCAAAAAGTCAGTCACAAATTCACATTAGTAAACATTTTTACTAAATTTTAATAATTTGTTAAATAAATATTTAAATACTTACTTCTTATTTGTTTCTTCATGGGAAAAAAAATTTTAAAAACTTCAATTTGAAACCTTCTGAAGTATAATAATTTTTAAAAATTTCAATTCAAAAATTCAATTACTTTATATAGAACTTTAATTAAATTTAATCTATAAACTATAAGACAATTATTTTTAATAATTTTCGGAAAGTTCTTTGTGAATTTAATTATTTAAATACAAACATACAATTTTCCATAATAATTTTAACTGTCCATGTTTTTTTAAAAGTTACTGAGGTATATTTTCAAAAACTTATAATAAAGAAATTCTTTCAATTAATTTAAAAAAAAAATTTTTGTAAGGTAATAGTTTTTCAATATTGAAAAATTTACAAACAATTAAAATTTAATAAAATCTTTAAAAATAATTAAAATTTGCTTAAATTTTAAAAAATAATTGAATTTTTTAATAACATGCCTAAAAAATATGGAAATTTTAAAAATATTTAATTTTCTTTGTTCGAAAATAATTGAATTTTAAAAAGTTATGAAAAAACAATTTTAAGAATTTGTATATTGTAACACTTGAAAATTTTTCATTAAAATTTTTTAGAAATAAATTATTTTGAAAATTTGCAATTAAAATTCTTAAAAAAAAAATTGATTTTCAAAAATTTTAATAAAATACTTGAAAAAAACAATTATTTTCAATTAAATTTTACAAAATTTCAATTATTAAAAAATTCTTTAATTGTATACTTATCTTAATTCGAAAATTTAATTAGAAAAATTTGTCTATAGTTATTTTTCACACTATAAAAATCAAAATAAGTTGTATTTTAAACTGAAAATGTGGTATTTTGTTGCAATATTTGTAAGAAAAATCGAAAAAGTCGCAATTTTTAAAAATAAGTTGAAAAAAAGTCGCATTTTTTTAAAATAGTCAAAAAAGACAGCGTTGTCACAAAACACCGATTTTAAAATTCCATGACTTTTCCAGAAGATTTTTTAAAAAATTCCAGACCAGAAATAAGTTATTAATTTTAAATTGCAAAAATAATTAAATTAAAATTTACAAGATTATTTGTAATACTACGCTCCGAAGGAAGGTACCTTAGAAGCAAATCGCTTTAAGGTTATGTTTGTGTTATTTTTATCTCAATTAAAAGTGTTTGTTTAATTTCGTAAAACCAAATTTAATTTTTATTAATTATTTTAGTTGTAATGAAGATTTTAATATTAGTTGTTTATATTGAGAGTTAATCCCCTTTGTGTAATTTCATTCAGAAAATTCCAAACATAACCTACAGCTTTTTGCTTCTAATGTATCTTTTTTACCAGCGCATCACACTTATTTTAAAGTGAACGAAAAAATATAGAGAAAATGATAGGAATTTAAAATTTTAGTTTTGTTTAGAATTTTCAATGAATCGAGAATTTTAAACATTTTAATAACATTTTTGGGTATCTATAATACATTTAATTGTATTAATTTTAAAATTATGCAAAGGACATTGGCCAAAAGAGACTAAAATTTAGAAAAGCAAATTTAGAACTGTAAGCTCGAAATTTAAAATCAACAAGTTGTAGAATGTCAAAACTTGAAAACTTAAGATTTTTAAGATTCAAATACAAAAAATTGAATTTTTAGAACGAGACTCAAGACAGAGTGCACCATAGTATCTCCAACACAATCCACCAAAAAAATGTGACTCCAAAATGATGAGATGTAGAAACAAAGTTTTGTAAAAACCCACCAAAATATTTCCATTACAACCAAAAAAAAAAAAACATTCAATCGTACAATTTTATGGCAAACCACTAAATCGATTTCCTCAGTACACTTTTTGCCATAACTTTTCTCTTTTTAATTCCCTCGAAAGCATGTTAAAAAAAACTAACAATATTGTTGAATGTAATTCCCGGTAGCGAAGTTCCGATTAAAACATTTTACGGTTGAATCTCCAACACAGAAGGCATCAGAATGGCGATGCACGTACGTATAGGAAAATTACCATTCCCTCTACCCTCGTTAACGACTCACCCGTCGAGCATAGGCTCTCTTCTGAAAATCGAGTTTAGGGAAGTTCACGTTTCATGATCGAAATTTCCAAATGCTTTTCAGTAACCCCTTGGCCATTTTCACCCTGAAAGCGACGACAATCGGGCGATTAGCCGTGAAACGGCTTTACGGCTGAATTTGCATACGGCTTGGCGATTAAACGACACACGATCGAGACCAAAGCGAGAAGCGCAGAAAACAGCAGAGGTCGATTAAAACAAAGAGAAAAAAACTAGAGAGGCGAGCGAACGAAATTCCCAAAAGAAACGAGAAAACTTTATATATATTTACAATAGAAAAACGAACCTAAAAGAAAAAAGAAAAGGTGACTGCAGAGTACTACCATTTGTATTTTATAAGCCGAAAGAAATTAGACTTGCGACATTAATTATCCGAATAATGAGCTCAATGTTCTTGCCGTATCTCCCAGTGTACCTGCAGGACTCGTTGTGAACTCCACCAGCAACTAAAGATCATTCTCTTTCTTTTCCCTCCGTTACCATTTTCCTTTACGACGAGGATTGAATCGAGTGGTTGGGGTTTGAAAACGACTACAAGAGACATGTTTTCACTCTCCTAATGTGGCATGTACAATGTATTTCGATGTATTTACACATATAACACAATATGATATCATCATACGTACTTCATTTCAATTTTTTTCCATTTGAAAATTTTCTAAATGTTTTCTTTTCTTTTTTTCTTTTCTTTTATTTTACTACAAATAGAAATATAAATCACTCTTCTTGCACTAAATTTCTAAATACTTCGTTTCACGTTCAAGCATTTTGTTTAAAATTAAAAAAAAAATCTAGCATTTACAATCTGCTGAGGAAAAAAATTCTATAAAAAAAAGAAAACAAAAACATCGTGCGCGATTAAATAGAAAAAAGATTATTTGGAAAAAATGTCATCACAATAATTTATGAAAAAATTAATCAATTAAGACATTATTTTCGCTGATTGACAAAAAAGTGAAAATACATACAACTAAATTATGAAAAGATTTACATTACAATAATTCAGGAAGCTGTATAATTTTATGTGAGAGTTCTTCTCTCGGACCAATCGACCGCACATTGTATTACCGGATAACTCACTGGCATTGTAACATATTCGACAAATAATGGTTGCGGTGGATTCCTTGGTACAAATTCCTCGGCCAATGGATTCAATGCCTTCTCCTCCTTAACTTGGGAAATTGAAATTAAATGATGATTGAGTCTGTCCTCATCGACGCCGTGTATGGTGGCCGATTTGAAGAATTGTTGCCACAAATTGCGACAGCATCCGACTGTTAATAGTGCGACTGGATCGCCGACAATTGCCACAAGACATTTGGCACGTGTCACCGCTGTATTGAGGAGTCGTGGATTTGTCAGAAATCCATAGTCAGTTATATTCACTTCCGCCGTATGCCGACTGCAATGACGTGTGCGAACGGTGCTTATGAAAACTGCCGTGAACTGCTTCCCTTGAACATTGAGTACACGCTCGACATTCACCTCCTGGAGCCGGTGCTTTCGAAGTTCATTTCGTATTCTGTACACCTGTTCCATGTAATGGGCCAACACTCCAATTGATCCTTCGCCATAGGGTCCCCATCTTTGCTTCGGCCAATTGCGCTTTAGATCGTCAACGCGCGCCACCAATTCTGCTACCTCTTCGTTGTTGAAAAAGCCGGTGGAATTGTTCCCCTGCAAGGAGCAAATGCAACTTTGGTCAGTAGGGGAAGGGTGGACTTTTTTTTACAAAAAGCCTACAGGCGAAACTGGGAAAATTTCGGTCCGTGCTAGCAGTGGATCATAAAGTAGATACCACTGCTCGCCCGGACTAAAACAAATTTTCCCCAGGGTGGACCGAGTGAGACTGCAGACTTTAGGTTTCGCTGCTAGCCCGGACCAAAGCTGTATTACCAAATTCTTCTCAGTGTAAGAAAATTCTGAACCTACAGTAGAGTAGGCTAAGATCCGCTGCTAGGTTGAACCTGTAGCCCAACCTAGCAGTGGATCTTAAAGCCTGCCTCATCAAAATTCTCTACTTTAGGACTGAACCTAAAGTAGGGGACCGACCTAAAATATCAACCAAATTTTCTACTTCAGGACTGAACCTAAAGTAGAGTAAGCTTTAGGATCCGCTGCTAGGCTGGACCTTTGGCCCAACCTAGCAGCGGATCTGCAGTCTCACCAAAATCTTCTCAGTGTAGGCTGATCCGCTACTAGTCTGGGCCTTCGGTCCAGCCTAGCATCGGATCTTAAAGCATGCAGTAATCGATTAAAAAAACTACGATCCTATTTTATTACAATACAGAAATAGAAAGTCCAACAAACCTTAACTTCCTGGCCCTCGACTGCATAGAACATGAGTGGAGTTTGCAACGGATGTTTATGCAGAACAGCTCCAGCCTCGACTTGCCCTCCGTAAAAAAGTTGCGATGTCAATTTAACAATATCGGCATGAGCACGATAATTTTTACAAAGTTGAATTCTGCAAGGATGATTGGGTTTGTAGGTTAAATGAAGTCTCTCGAGAAGACTGGTACCAAGTCCACGCTCTCTAGCAAGATCACTGTAAACCTCGGGTGCCAATTGCATTTGATCACCGGCAAGTACAATGCGCGTTCTCTCGTTTGCCAAAGCCAGTGCTGTTAAGGCTTCACATTCAAGAGCCTGTGCCGCTTCATCGATGACGATGTGGGACGGTTCCAAATCAAGGGGTGTCAAACAACTCGATGTTGCAAGGGTTGTAATGATCAAACCACATTCAGCAATGTCCTCTTTTGTCGGTTCACGGAATCGACCACTTTGATCAGTCAAAGTGTAATCACGCACCACTGCATGTACCTGATAAATATAATACCATTCAATAATCCACCTTTTGAAAAGCGTTAAGAACAAAGAACAACAGAAAATTCCAAATAAAAAATTACTAACCGTATTTCTTCCTCGACCCTTGTAATAAATCCTAACGGGCTTCAATCGTGGATTCTGAGACTGAGTGTACCAATTATGAAAGAAATCCTTGACGTACAAATCAGCGGCACTGTTACTTTGGGTACAGAGAATTATTTTACTTGTCGGATCATCGAGAAGGAGAATTCTCAATGTTTCAGCAATTGTTGATGTTTTTCCAGTGCCAAATGGTCCTAATAAAAGAATTGGAGGTAAAATGTCATCCTTCGGTGCCATTATCACAGCTACGGCTTTTTTCTGTTTATCATTGAGTACATATGTCTGCACCATTTTGTCCCATCTCTTGTTCCAAATATAATGCTCCTCACCGTATTTGTGACTCGAACTTGGAAATACAATTTTTGTATCGGGGAGACAGTCTATTGCTCGATGCCATTCACAGAATGGCAAACGATTCAGTAGAAACTGTACCTGAACCTTGAGATCGGTGTCTGCTTTAAATCCGAGTTTTTCCACGCATTCTTTCGACAAACGGGCATAAATTGTATGAGTACATTTGTCCTCGACATGTGCCTCAAATACCATATCGTTCTCAGTGAATTTTGGCGGATTCTCTCCAACTGGCCTAATCACAATACTATTGCAGCCACGTAGAAACAAACGACCGCATTTTGTATCTTCCGTTAATTCTCTTCCCAAAGGAAGCTACATGGAACATTAACAAAAAAGAAAAATACTTCCTGTTTATGTGATCAGAGAGAATGTGAATAGATTATATCTGGAAAGCGGACTCGACTGTATTCAACGCATTGATTATAGGATTATTTCTTTTGTATCTTTATTTTATGCACATGGTGTTTATGCATAAGACAAGGACAGAAAAGAGTAGCCAAAACAATACAGATTCATAATCAACGGATCGAAATACGTGAAAGATAATGAAAGTAGAAATAAAGTTAAAATTTATAGACAAATGTTTTCTTTAAATGTTAGAGGAAATTATCAAATAATTTGACGAATGGGATGGGGAAAAAAAATATAATTCACACCTGTGCAAAAAGTTCGCTGGGCGGTGCATATTTGGCAAGGCTAGATCCATCGGTGTCAGAATGGAGAATGTAATTATTGGACAATCTCAATTGTGCAGCTTCATTGTACCTGGCAACTTGTTCATGTCTTGCTAATTCCTCAACGGTAACCAATTCGTGCAGTCGTCCTTTGTAATTACTTGGTGTTAATGTTCTTTCCGTGAGAGTTGAATGTGTTAAAAAGAAATGATCCGTTTCAGGATAAGGATAGGCTCTATCTAGGTACTCTTCACGTGGATCCTTGGCAGTTACAAATGGCGAACTGAATGGTACAAAATTCTTATGGGTCTTACTTAATAATCGTTGATTTAAATTCAAAACATATTGACTTGCATCATTTAGCCTCTGTAGATCTTCTATTGGTACGCAATCAATACAAATTTTTCTCAATATCACTGGACGTTCTTTACCAAATGAAAAGAATATATTTTGTCGATAAGTCCCATAATCATTTGATTTGAAATTAACTTCAATTTGATAATCATTATCGAAATTTGTCACACGACCTGGACCATGATCCGAGCATTTCAATTGCCATTCTTTTCCATTACAAACACCCTGCAATTTTTGTCCAGTTTTCTCATTAATTATTGCTTTGAGGATGAAATTTTTCTGATGACTGTCCATTGAGAGTGCAACATTTTGAAGTGGTTTGTCTATGAATCAACATTTGAGTCAAATTTTATTTAAATGTCTCGGTTGAAATATTCATGGGAGAATTAATAGATTTTAATAGATGTGTGGAAATTTATTTAATTTTCATGAGATGTTAATGAATGTTTTAATAATGTATTAAAACGGTAATTAGTGATAAACGTTCAAAATTCATTAAAATTTATTACAATAGTAGTGCACATATGGAGTATTCAATTATCTAGGTGTTGTAAATTTGCATATAGAATTATATACATGAATTTAATTGAAAAAATTACAAACATAATTACACGTTCCAATATTACAATTAACTAAGTAAAGAAACACACATGTATTTTCTTTTTGATAAGAGAAAATCCTGATAAAATTATTATTTCTAACACTTGATAAGCATAAGGCAGAAATAAATTTTCATTAAATTTTAATACTCTAATTAGATTGATCATTAAATACTAATTTCTATTGTAATAAAAACTAAATGTCACGTTAATTTAGACAATGATTGTATAAGCCACCAACAAATTACTGAAGAAAAATAATTATAAAATTATGTACAATATATGACTAAAATATTTTTTATTCTTTCTTGATGCATACTCACGAAGTTCGGAGCATTTAATTTAAGGAAATTTATTTAATTATTCTTGAAATTAAATATTTATTAAAATAATTTTGCGTCAATGTTAAAAAATGTAATTATATGGATTCTAAAACATCTGAAAAAAATTTTTTTATTTTTTTCAAGTTAAATTCATCGCTTTAATTTTCATGTACCTTAATTTTTAAGAAAGTAATTGTTACTTAAGATACAATTATTAAAAAATAACGTCAGGGATCACGGCGATTTTTTCATGTAATATTAGGTAAAAATGGGGATTCAGTTTAAAAAAAGGGGAATTTTTAAATTAAGTAAAAATTATTGTATTAAGGCATAAAATTTATTTCAAAGTTTTGTTACTTCTTTTATTTTCAGCTTTTTTAAATTAAATTATTTTTTTGTTAAGCTTTTTAATTAATTGATATATTTTAATATCTTTTTCCGTAACTTTCTTCAAATTTTTAATTAAAATTTTTATTACAATTCTACTTTTGTATTAAAATTACGTGAATTTTACGATTCTTTCTTGGCAAAATTTCCTTCAAAAATAGTAAAATTTAATAGGTATTAAAAACAATTTTCCAGAATTACTTTTAATATTTTCAAAGACAATTTTTTTATAAAAATTGGGAAAATTTAATTCAAAAATAGTAAAATTTAATATTAAAAACAATTTTCAGAATTACTTTTAATATTTTCAAAAAAAAATTTTTTTCTAAAAATTAGAAAAATTTAGTTCAAAAATAGTAAAATTTAATCTAAAAATAAAAATATTTAATAGCCAATAATTATTGTAATGTTCGAGCAAAATTTAAATAATTTTGATAAAAAAATTGACATTTTATTTTAAAATATTTAAAATATTTTTAAAATATTTTTATTTTTGGAGTAAACTTTATAATATCCGTAAGTAAATTTGATGGAAAATTAGTAAAATATACCTACTTTGAATTTAGTAAAATTTATTCTGAAATTAATTCAATTTGTAAAAAATTCCAAACAATTTGGATTTTACTCGTAAAAGTAAAAGTTATTTTAAATTTACCTTTTATGAAAAAATTTCCAAGTTTAAAGAGAAAAGAATATAAAGATTTTTAAGTTTCAAAATACTAAAATTTTTCAAAGTTTTTGCGAAAAGTAAAAATTTGTTCTTCAAACATAACTAAAAATTTTTCAAACTTACAAAAAATGACAATTTTTATAAGTTTTTTTTTTAAATTAGGGGAAAAAGGGTAGAAAATTTTATTAATTTAAGGGGAAAAATAGAAAAAAGAGGACTAACTGTGATCCCTGAAATAATAAAAAATATGAAGATTTTAAAGTTTAAATTTACGAAAATATGGAACTTTTTTGGAGTATCTTTCTTGTCTATTCACTTGAAACTAATAAAAAACATCGTTTAAATAAATTTAACAAATACAAGAGAAGAATTAAAAAAATAAGGAATATGTCTTATAATTTCTATTGTAATAAGAAAGATAAATTTAAAATATGATAAAAAATTACAATAAACAATTGTTGAATCAATTATGAAAATTATTATCATACTTGTTCATTTGTTACAATTAAATAAATATTTCGTCAATACATATTTACAAGACAGAAAAAGAAATGCAAATTCTTATCTCATAATCACCAAAAGTGATATTGATTTACTTGTTTACCTTTGGATGTTATGAGTGAATGACACTGTTCTTTATTGAAGGGGAAAATTTACATTAAAAAAAATTAGATCCAAATGAATTTAAATAAAAAATGAGTAACTATACGTTTATAGAATAGTAAAAATATAATTATAATAAAAATTCAGTGTCAACGTAATTATATCCGTTTTTCCTCAACGCTCAACAAATTTTCACGCATATTTCAACTTTTTTTACAAGGAAAAAAATGAAATTCTCTACGTATGAAATTAATTTATTTTAATGAAATTTGAATTTTATATTTTTCACAGTTAAAAGAAATAATATTCGACATTTTTTTGAATATTTATTCTGGAAAATAACTCAAAAGAGTGATTGTTATCTATAAATGATTGAAAAACAAAGGAATTGTTTATGTGTGAGAAGAGGCAATAATGTATAGAAAAAAAAGAAGAAGAAGAAGAAGAAGTAGAGTTAAATTTCATGATTAAATGGTGAAACAATGAATGATATGTATATGAACTCTCTCACCGTGCGCACGTATTTTTATTTTCAAACTTCTGTCGTTGATTTTCTCAGTGATCCGAAAATTTAATTTACTATCAGGCTCTTCAACAACAACATCACTAGGATTATTTGCTCTCATCCATTTTCTCTGCAGGGTTTTGCCGAAATTTGGAAATGACATAATTTCGTTTGGAATACAATTATCGGCCATGGTAGCCATAAGTAAGGTTGATGATCTGTGTGGATACGAGAGTGATGGGGAGAGAGAGAGAAAGAGAGAGAGAGGGGGATTTGATGAAAATAACTAACTTCTCTGGCCGCGTGTTTCCGTGAAAATACAAAAAAAAGTCTAAATGCGTTTGGAATTGGCAGAAAATCACATTTTCTAATGCTAGAAACGCGTTTTAGTGAATTAATTTGCGGAACGGCGACATTTTAAAACAACGCGATACACCTTCTTTCAGAACACTGCGCCGCTGCACGATTGTTAAAGATGGCACTCGGCGACTCTTTGTTGTGCGCATGCCTTGGAATGGAGAACGATGCGATCTATCAGCGGGGAATTGAAGTGAAGTGTCTCTAACGATCCCTACCGTACCGAGTATGGAAACAGTGGCGGCACTCGTGCTCTGCCGTATTGACAGTTTTATTTCTCGAGCGCCAGTGTTGCCAGACATCTCCCTAACGTGTAACGTCTCACAGGTCTCACAATCTCACATAATTTGATGAGCTGTCCTGCTTAGTGTATGTGTGTTCCGTGTGTTCTATAACGATTTGATTATGTGATACAGAAATCAGTGCAACGGACAGAAATTGATCTCGGTTTTTGTTCTAATGTCAGACAAAATTAAATGTCAATAACAACACTTCAGAAAAAGGTGTTTTTTTCATATCTGAGCTAATTTCACCCCCTTAAAGGGGGTGCCCAAGTCGACTGGATTTTTACATTGAGCTTCCAATGGAAAATTTAACTATTTCTAACAATTACGACTGTAATTCTTTCAAAATTCAATCAATTTTTTGTTTAAAATTTTTAAATAAAATTATTTCAAAACTTTAATAATTGTATTTTAAAATAAAAATTTTAATATTATTAGAGTTTTACAACAATTAAAATTTTCAAAGGCTTCAATTTAAAAATCTTTTGAAATTTAATTATTTCTAAAAATTTACACTACACCGCATCTAATATTCAATTAGGGTCATTTGGGGTAAATGTAAACAGTAGATGTTTCAGCTAAATTTACAAATTAAAAAATAAGTACGACGTCAATATTTTTACCTCAGCTCACCTACAAGATGTTCTGAGTATTGCCAATATTTTATTTTGACAATTGACAATGCCATAGTGTAAGTTGTCTTTTAATGCAAAAAAGATTGAAAATCAAAATTTTACTGTTTCAGTATTTTGTCTCGCATTTGCATAAAAATAAATTTAAAAATCAAACAAAAATATGTAATTCTTCCTTATTAATGCCCTAACAAAAATTGACTTTGATTTTTGATTTTCGTCAATTTAGTTAATAAATAATTAGGTGTTTACATTTACCCCGAGAATTCGAAAACTCGGGGTAAATGTAAACAGAACTTGAACTACATTTTAAAAGAAAATAATTGAATAAATTTGCTTCTATTTCACAATTTTATTAATTTGGCAATGTAAAATCACATAGAAAAGGAAATTAGACCCTCTTTAAGAAAAAGAATTTGATAAAAAAAAAAAATTTTTTTTTTGTTGAAAATATGATTAATTTTTAAAAATATTTTTAGGTTCATCCGCCATTTTGAAAATTTAAAATTTGACTTCAAATTCGTATTCAGCGACCTCAAAAACCCCCGAGTAGCCAGATTCAAGCAAATTTGATCAATTTTTAAAAATATTATTTTTAGGTTCATCCGCCATATTGGATCCACCATTTTGAAATTTAAAAATTCAATTTTAGATTCTTATTCAGCAAAATAAAAAAAAAAAACTTCTTTTTACCAAGTTGAATGAAAATCTATTAAAATTTGTTCAAGTAATTCAAGTTTTTACATTACTAATTTTGTAATGGTTGATTGTTTATTTTATATGATACATTATCAGTCAACTGGTTGATTTACTATACATCTACGAAGAATTTTTTTTCAGTTTTTCCATCCCTTAAAACAGTAGTATACTTGAAATAACTTGTTTCTTAAACCTCGCTTAACTACAGAGGTGTTTACATTTACCCCGAATTTTAGGAAAATTTCAAAATCTCGGGGTAAATGTAAACAGTCAGTTTTAGGCGATTGAAGTGCATCAATATTTTTTTGAACCTCATAAAATTTTTCTAGGGAACTCTAGTAACAAGTTCATGCAAAAAAAATCCGTCCGTTTTACTTTTTAACAAAAAAAACTAATGTTTTTGGTGAAAAAGAGATATTCCGTTTACATTTACCCCAATTGACCCTATTACCTTAAATTTTAAATGATTTTTATTTTTAAATGAATAATTTATTAAACAATTAAATATTTCTTAAAACTAAATTCTTATAAGGAACTTTATCAAATTTTTTTTAAATATTTAAATTATTCTTTATTCGAAAAAGTTTAATATACAATTTTTAAGAATAATTTTATTTTTAGAGGTATTCATTTAAAATTGTATTAGAAATAATTGAAATTCTAATAAAAATTCTAATTCTAATAAATTTCTAATAATTTCTAATAAATTTTCTAATTCTAATAAAAATTTTATTTTTCTTTATTATATTTATGAAAATAATTGTATCCCTGTAAAAAATTTTATTATTTGCGAAAATAATTGGATTTTTGAAAATAAATTTATAATAAATTTGTAAATAATTCAATTTATGTAAAATGCTTATTATTAATGAAAATAATTAAATTATGTTTGCCTATAGAATTTTATTTAAATTATTTTAAATAATTGAATTCTTTTGGAAAATTGAATTAAAATAGTAGATATTATAAAGAATTGAATTCCTGCAACGAATTTTATTATTCTTGAAAGAATCTAAATATTTATAAAAATAATTTAATTCTTGCAAAGAGTTTTATAAAAATTTTTAAATAATTGATTTCTTTCGACTAATTTTATACAAATTCTAATTCAAATAATTGAATTCCTGAGAAAATTTTTATTATTCATGAAAATAATTTAATCCTTACGAAGATTTTAAAAAATATACTTGTATATTCTCTCCCATTATATCTGAGGGTTAAAAGTTGCGCAGAAAATGTGTACGATCTGATGCGCGCGAAATTATTTTTCTGACATTTTATGTATTTAATTTAGGGGTTAGGTTGCCATATTTATTCATTTCGCGCCGGATAAGGAAGGGATTTCTCAAGATGGTTAATTTGTCCCTCTGTTAGAGAAATGGCACGAATATCTGTCAATGGTGAATTTGAACATTTAGATTGTTATCCAATAGCTAACTCTCAAATATGAACGATTTGTCCCTCCAGATGTTTAGTCCAATACTCCAGTTTTGTCAGTGAATAATATTGAATTCTTGCAAACGATTTTATTAGAATGTTTAAAAATGGTTGAATTTCCAAGAAGAAATTTATTACTTTTAAAAATAATTGAATTCTTTTTAAAAATGCCTCAGAATAATTGAATTTTCTGGAATAATTTTGTTATTTATGGACATAATCGAATTCTTTTGAAGAATTATTTATGTAAATAATAGAATTCATGGGAAGAATTTTATTAAAATCTAAAAGAATAATTGAATTATTTCAAATAATTTTAAAAAAACAATTTTTTAAATAATTGATTTTTTCAATGAATTTAAATTAAATTTTTAAGAATAATTACATTTTTTGGGCAATTCCTGTAAAATTATATTAAAAATAATTGAAATCCTGGAATAAATTTTAATATTTATAAAAATAAAATTTTTTTTCAAAATGCTATTCTAAATTAATTGAATTTCTGTGGAAATTTTATTATTTATGAATATAATTGAATTTTGGATGAATTTTATCAAGTTTTTTAAAAATAATTGAATTCTTTTGCGAAATTTTATGAAAATACTAGATATTGAAAATAATTGAATTTCGAATATGTTTTGAAAATAATTGAATCGTTTTAATGAATTTGATTATAATTTTTAAGAATAGTTTTTTCATTTTTGTATTAGCGAATTTAAAGTAGTAGGAATTCTCAAAAAAGAAAAAACAGAAATAGTATAGCTTTCAGTGGCTGAAATTTAAAAAAGTACCCAAATAGTAGCATAATGTAAAAAAAGTAGTAAATAGTAGGTTTTAGAATAATTGAATTCTTGACAAAAACTATCTTACATTTTTTTTAAATAATTGAATTCTTGCGACGAATTTTATTAAAAAATTTTTAAACAATTGTATTGAATTTTTCCAAAGAATTTTATGAAAAATTTGTTTTAAATAATTAATTGATGTGAACATTTTATTTATTAAGGAAATAATTAAATGTTTTAAAAAAATTTTATAAACATTTTTTTTAAATATAAATAAATTCTTTTTGGACATTTTTTTATCAAAATAGTAAATATTGAATGTAATTAAATTTTGAAAAATTTCTGAAAATAATTTAATCATTTGAAAGTATGTTGATAGTAATTTTCTACTAATGAAATAATGCGGATTCGTTTACCAATTGAATTAGTAACAGTTTTACTAATCTTTAGTAGTTTTTTACTAATTGCTAGTAGAAAACTACTAATTCATTAGTAAGGCGTTTACTAATTTGAAATAGTAAAAAATCCGTTCTACTAATTGAATTAGTAATTTTCTACTAGCAATTAGTAAAAACCTCCTAAAGATTATTAAAAACTGTTACTAATTCAAATTGATAAACGAATCCGCACCAGTTCGCAGATTTAGATAGTAGTGTTAAAGAAAAGTATCTTTTAATGTCACAAACCTAAAAAAAAATGTATGAAAATAGTAGTAAATCGTAAAAAAGTAGTAAATAATAGTAGGTTTTAGTAGATGAATACGAAGCCTGCGCAAATTATAAAATATGATTAAAAACTCCTTAAATATTCCTGAAATTGGTTACTTGGAGGTTTACGGGGTCGCTGATTACGAATTCGACATCAGCTTTATTTAAAGTATCAGATTTAATATTTTTTTGAATTTTGAAAAACTAATGTCAGATTTGTAATCAACGACCTCAAAATAACCTTAGGATACAAAGTTTTATACACCCAGAGAAAAATATTATTTAAACCAAATATATTTTATTTGAGTTAAATAAACGTATATTTGTCTCAGAACCAACTAGACTTTTTATTTCTTTTAAATAAAAATTTTATTCGACCCAAATAAAACATATATTTGAGATAAATAAAATTTTATTTAAACCAAATAAAATTTATTTCAAACAAATAAAAAGTCTAGTTGGTTCTGAGACAAATATACCATTTCTCTGGGTGTAAAAACACTGCAAAAATAAGTGTCTTTTTTTATATATCTTAAAATAAGATGTAAAAC